ATTAAAAAAAATCTTTCAGAATCAAACAAAAAGCCAATCTACAGACTGCTGTCTTCATCATTAGACAAGACTGTCATCATTTGGGAGCCAGAGTCAACTCCTAATAAAGGGGAAGGGGATGGGGTGTGGGTTGAGCGAGTAAGGGTGGGAGAAGTGGGAGGGAATGGGTTGGGATTCTATGGTAGCAAGTTTGGACCTGGTGGAAACTCATTCTTAGCTCACGGATACAATGGGTCCTTCCATGTTTGGAGGTGTTGTAAGGTATGGTCAGACTCACTGTAATATTTTGATGTAAATTGATAGGTTTTGAATAAAACATTTGACGGAACCTAAACTGTTCATTATTCGCGGGCCGCGGTTTCAATCTTTGAACTTAAATAAAGCAATGATTTTATTATTTACTACCATACATTTTTCCAGGAGACAGGTCAATGGCGACCGTCAGTAGTGTGTGGTGGCCACTTCAGTGCAGTGGAGGACGTGAAGTGGGAGCGCCAGGGACGGTACCTCATGAGCGTGTCCGCTGACCAAACCACCAGGGTGCATGCGCCCTGGAGAACTGAACTTGGTAACGTAGCTATTTTTACTTTTTTATCCAACCGCTGGAAATTAAAACTAGATTAATAATATTAAAAATCGCCTAAGTTCACAGTTACATACCTTGACATCCCTTAAAAATATTTAACATCACCATTTCGAATTCCAATAGTGATTGTTAAAAAGGTAATCTTTTTAACAATCACTATTTCCAATTATTGATGAACTCCTGTGCACTGAACGTTTATGTACTACTACACTTTAAATGATCAATGTCGCGGCCGCAGCCTCTCCATTTCTGTCCCAAAACTAAACAGGAACACAACACATGCGCAACATCCGATAACATCACGTCGTACTGTGCACCCGCGCTTAACTAAGTACTTCCTACATTCAAATTTAAAAAAAATATTTGCAAGCACAACTGCAGATTACCTAATCGTCGTCTGCTCGTTTGCCCCTATTCTATAAAGAAAGAAAGTTATTAAAAAGGATCACTGTTTCCTATTAACTCCCAATATTTCTCCGACAGGCACAGAATGGCATGAAATAGCTCGTCCCCAAGTACACGGGTACGATCTCTCGTCTCTCGCGCTGATCAGCAGCACGACCTTCGCGTCCGCTGCGGAGGAGAAGGTCATCAGAGTGTTCAAAGCACCTCACAACTTCGTACAGAACTACCGGAATATTACTGGAGAAGTTATTGAAGGAGATACTGGAGGTGACAGAACATCTTTATTTTTGACATCTTGCAAAAGTACATTGCGATCTTCTACTGTGTTTAAAAAAACGTCACAAAGTTGTGAATGTGAAATTTGCGTCTTGTTGCTCAGGTCTGATCAGGTCAATAATATTACAGGCCCAGAAGGTGCAGCGGTGCCCTCACTAGGGCTGTCAAATAAGGCGGTGTTCATAGGAGAGGATGAACAAGGGGACGCTGACGACGATAATGACGGATATTTCGTTCCAGTTGATATGACAGGTCAGAATTGAAATTGTGTAATATTTAAAGAATTTTAATACTTAACTGTGGGAGGCCATGCTCCGGTACGACTGGGCCGGCTCAACCAGAATGATACAACGTCATCACAGAAAACTGACGTGAAACAACGCTTGCGTTGCTTCGTCATGTGAGTGCGGTTACCGGACAATTAGCCCCACCTCCCAAATCCCTGAATCTAACAATCCTCAAATTCTTAAACCCAATAAAGGCCGGAATCGCACTTGTAACGCCTCTGGAGTTTCGAGTGTCCATGGGCGGCGCCGCTTGCATACTATCAAGTGATCACTGTGATCAGTCTTTACCGGCTTATCCCATATAAAAAAAGAAACTGTTATTTTATTTAAGTTGGTGGCTACTACTAAATGACCATTCTTGATTGGTGCAATCTTATGAAATCTCATTCAATTTAATATGATAGTTTATGATACAGTCCTATATAACATTTCACTTGTTCTACGCTTCTGATATTATGTCCATTATAACATTTTATCTAATTACGTTCTCCAGAGCCCCCTACGGAAGAGACTCTAATGCAGCACACGCTATGGCCGGAGCTGCAGAAGTTGTACGGGCACGGGTACGAAGTGTACTCCCTGGCGGCCAGCCCCGACACCACCGTGCTCGCCTCGGCCTGCAAGGCTACTACTGCTGAACATGCTGCTGTCTTAATATGGTGGGTTATATGGGCTTTTTTACCATGAAACTTAAGGTACCTAATCAAATTTGAATCTCAAAATTGCTACGGTAAGGTTTTATTTTATCCGAAATAATTGTCGTCTGCTCTTTACGTTTACTATCAGTTGCTTGTTCTATATTGACTATAAAGGTGTTTTCCTATGGTTTCATTTTGTTTGACGTCTGTGCTTTACATTTCCTAATCAACTGTACATCTTCAGTTACTCTAATTTGAATTTCAATTTCCTGATGAATCTGTCTTCGTTAAAGTAACACAAATTTTCAACATATTTCCACAGGGACACCACAACCTGGGAACAGAAACAAAAACTCGTTTCCCATCAGCTAACCGTCACACAACTAGCATTCTCGCCAAACAGTCAGTACCTAGTCTCCGTGTCCCGCGACCGACGTTGGACCTTATACCAAAGGCGACAAGACACAGATTTGTTTGAAATAGTCGCGAGCACGGATAAAACGAATGCTGTGCATACGAGGATCATTTGGTGCTGTGCGTGGACGCAGGATAGTAAGGCATTCGCTACTGGATCTAGGGAAGGAAAGGTGTGTAGCGTTGTATATTGTTATAGAAATCCTTAATGATGAACTACCATCTCTAATTACTATCATCACAATAACGTTTCTACTTTTTTTCGACTTCAGCACAGTGGCGGGGTAACTAGTTTCAGCGCTACGTTTCGCAAGTTCGATTCCCGAACGCAGTAATCTTTTATGGGAGCCATAGATTTTTGTTTATATTTTAAAAGCTCCTAGAATGAACGAAGATATAACAAAAAAAGAACAACTTCTAAAAAAATATTTAGCTTTTTTTACACAGTCAAAATTTTTTATTTCCAGGTGTGCATTTGGTCAGAAATGGGTCCAACAAACACCTCTCTGGGAGCGTTTGGACTTCTGGGCAAAGCTCTCGAAGTGAACACAGCAGTAACGGCTTTGGACTTCGCCCCACACGACGGCTCCGGCCTTATACTAGCTGTTGGCTTCGAAACTGGTATTATCAGGATATACCAATTTACTGATGATGGCTGGCTCCTTCTACAAGAACTTGATAATAGGTAAGAAATTAAGAATAATAGTTAAAGAGTCCTGAGTCTGATCTTTTCCCATTATTTCTTCAATTTTTAAAAAGCAAAACGTGTCCCCACACTAGGAGTGTCTCCTGTGACGTAGGGGCTTTTATAAACACAAATAAGTTCGCATACACATGACACCAAGACTCCGAACAACAATTTGTGGATCACACGAAGAGTTGCTCCGTGCGGGAATCGAACCTGCTACACGTAGCGCGACAGTCAGTTGCCCAGCTACCGCGCCAACTGTGTATTCAATATGTTACGTTGTAATAAAGATTGGCGTTACCTCTAATACGCATTTAGTAAATGCCTTGTATTCCTATGTAAGTCCATCCTCTCAACATTAACCAAACCATAGTATATTATATTTCTTTTCATTCCCGAAGATATTTTTCATACAATCTAAATAATTCCGAGTTATTGGTAACAAGTTATTAATATTTTTTACTAAAAATCGCGGGTTACTCGGGTGAATATACTGAACATCTAGTATTGTTAATAAACATACTGTAACACAAGACTCGTAATTTCGACTATAATTCCAAGCGGCTCGTTGGTCTAGGGGTATGATTTTCGCTTAGGGTGCGAGAGGTCCCGGGTTCAAATCCCGGACGAGCCCAAATCTTTTTGTTGTTCTTAGTTTTGTTTTTTGTCAATTTTTGTTTATTTTTCAGCGCAGCGCACCATTTGGCAGTGAAAAGATTGACATTCAAACCTACTGAAGGAAATAAAATGATGTTAGCGAGTTGTGGAAGCGATCATCTTGTTAGAATATACAGTATTGATATAATTTCTGAATAAAATATATTTTAATTTAATATAACTCGTGTTATATTTTTATTTATTTGTAAAACCATTTTAACTTCAATAATTAATCTGTTTTCTAGAATTGGACTAGATAATGTGACGTCACGGCCGAGATATCAAACTGAAACGCAACAGTTCTAAAATAACTTTTGTAGCAAAACAAGGTTTCGTAACATTATCATGATTTGTAAAACTGACTGAGAAATAATAACCGTGAAGATTCTAGCACAGTCCATACAACTTTATACCTACTTTGGTTCGAACTAACAGATTGCCTAAAGGCCACGCATTAGACTAATTTAAAAAAACTTTCTGAACATTTTTTGCTAATACCTACTGATACTGAAAATATACTTTTATTAAATATTATTTAACTCTAAGTACAGTATATAATTTACTAATAACAAATTAAGTGTTTATGAACAATTGAAAACAATGTAATAACCTCTTATACAGCCACAGACGGTTTTATCAATGTCTACTTGATTAGATCGCAAGTATACTTAGAAGATAAATCAATTTATAATTAACTATAGGAATTACACACATAACATCACGCCTTTTATATCCGAAAGGGTAGGCAGAGGTGCACATTACGGCCCTTAAATACCACTGCAATGTAACATTTTTTATTATTTGTATTATGTGTCCCGTGTATTAGGGGGTGAGCCTAAACCCATATACCGGGCACATTTTCAGACTCCGTGCTACTGATTATTTTTTAAACCGTGTTATGCTTAGCCCGACCCGGGAACCGAACCCGAGACCCCCTTGTCCGGCAGTCGCACTTGCGACCACTCTCCCAACGAGGCAATCTGTGGGTATTGTACAGACAATTTTTTATAATATTACAATTCCTTATAATTTTAGGATATAAAATGGTGAGAATTGTCCAATAAAATACGATTGTAGGTAACGTATCAATTAATATAATTACAAATAACTTGATAAAACATATCTTCAGTAAAATTTACAAAAAGGCGAACTCTTGTATATTTATATAAAATCACAATATTGATCCGTCTAACGGAAGCTTAAATATAAATTCCATTTTGTGCTCATAACTCCTTTTGTATCGAAACTTGACGAGAATTTAACCGCGATTCTTATAAAACCAGATTAGTGGATGTCCTTCATAGATAATTAAATATAATCAAGTAAATATAAGGCGAACAGATTTGATAATGATTCTTGCCCTGTTCACCAAGTCAGTATACATATCGCGACGCACGGCTGTGCTCGAATTGGATATATCGAAATATAATCCGCAACTCCGCATACAGGTTATCAACATAACCACGATGCGTATCTAATATAATTCTTTTATCTAATAAAATATCTAAAAATACTTAATTTAATAACAACTTTACAAAATATGTTTCTCTTTTACATTAATCTAAAATATCTCGTCTTTATATTTACTTTATTCTTACAACTTATTTCTAGCCACGATTATAGTAGTAAAATTGAGAAGATAAGGCAACATGAGAAAGATACGCGACTTACTGCCGTACTAAGACATATTTAATGATCACTTAAACCATTCTTTAGTAACGAATTTCTTCCTAAAAGAATTGCTAAGGACTAAGTGAACTAAATGACTCTGAGTACGGCGGTATATCTTAAAAGTACATTGTAATTGTTATTAGCACATGAAAAAATGTACGGAGAGATTACGACAGATGTACGAATGAGAAATACACCCGAGTGGCTGAGGGACAAGCAGTACATGTTTGAGCAAGCTACACAATAATAGACCTAAATACAATGTAACTTAGAAGATAAAATAGTTCCTAGTATTATGACAATATGTTTTTTTGTGTTTTATAGTTTTCTCTTATTTCGAACATGCGCATTATAAGCATAGTCAATTATCACAATGCAAGGCATTCCGAGAGTTTGCAACCTTCATAAAGTGTGTACTTTTAAATTGGGATTTAAAAATAACACTTCGTAATGATTACCCAAGTGCATACAGCGGGTATTAATGGGCCACCATTATAGCTTCTTCGGACTTTGAGGGTCGAAAGTATTTGAGAACACGTCGAATGATTTTAGATTTCTTCTTCTTTTTGCTACTAGTCACACTTTGCTGGCTCATGCTACTCAAGGAGTTGGTGTCAGCTGCAGCTTTAACGTTCAGCGAGCTCATGGAAAGGCTCGCGGTTGGAGGACTCGGGAGGAATAGCTGGTCGTCCGAGTAATCCGGGATGACATTGCTCGGCAACAGTTCCACGATATTCACCTGTGGTACTGTTGTACTGTTCAGTCTGCTTACGGTTACACTGAAAGAGATGATAATAAGGTAGATGTAATGCCATAGATACCTGGTTGGTCAAGAGATGCCATCAATGTTTTCAAACATGGTTATAGTTTAAAATATACTGAGCAAAGTTCAATAATTACTTGTTATTGTTAGCGATCCGTGGTCTAATCGGGGTGTCTCGTGCGGTTTGAAGCGACTGCTTCAGTTTCCGCCAGAAGTCGTACATGTTCTCGTTTTTATTGTAGTACAGTTTGTGGACGAACGCCAGATTCGATGGTAGTTTACACTCGCGGTACATTATCGGGATGATCTTGTGGTTGTGTGACTCTGAAATACATATTGTTATAGTTATTTTTAATTACATTAATGTTTGTTTGTATGTAGTTGCTGCTTGTTCCTTGAGCGAAGAGCATTATTGAGCGTTAGATGTTTACATTGCAGAAGATATCCCCTTGAGTAAGTAAATGAAAGTTTGGGTTTATCTTTTTTAACACAACTTTATTGTCTAGTTGTTATTTAGCCTGTAATAATAGGATCAGGCCTTTGTTACATGGTTGGGAGTCATACATTTTTTTTTTCATGGGATAAGCCGTTAATAGAGCAGACGGATCACCTGATGAAGCAATCGGCGCCGCTCATGGAATCACACCAAAGCGGTTACAAGTGCATTACCGACCCTTTGGGGATTAGGAATTTCAAGATTGTTAAGGATTCAGAGATTGGGGAGGAGGATTAATTAGACCTAGTGAAAATTGTGTTATATTCTCTTGCAAATCCTACAGAGATCAGACATGAGCCTTATGTATGTGTTAATAAAATATATTACCAATGCTGACAGCCTGTGCATATTCGCTGTAGTACTTATTAGACTCGACGAGTAGGAAGTCTGGCGAGCAGATGAGGATAATTCTCTTGCACCGCTCCAACATGAGCTTCGTTATAGGAGCATATGGCGTCGCGTGGCCCGGCTGTAGCCTGTCCTCCGTGCACAGCTGGAATTATTAGCAATCAACATGTTAGTTCTTGAAACTTTACAATTTATATTTAAATGTAAGATTTCCTCAGAGGTTGGGTGAACGGACGACGACACTTGTGGACGCCCGCGCGCCTTATAATTCTTTGTATAATTCACGAATCTGAACATTAGTAAGGACATGTCATGTTAACACGGAGGAAAGTTGTTTAAAAATACATTTAGTACATAATTAAATTCAAATTTGTTTAACTGAATGGTAAAATTGCCCTTATTAGGTATGTCCGAGTACAATAGTATTATTTTAAAGGCCATCATTGGTAAGACTGCTCCCAGTATTTAGAGACGTTTTTATTAGTTTCATGAACAAGAAATAAGTATTATCAGTACTATACAGTTCAAGATAAGGTTCAAAATTAATCTCAACTTTAATGTTTAAATCAGTCTTTGTTTTATACCACTATAAATTATTTAATCTTATTATTACACACTGCTGTGAAAATATTGACTGGGGTATCATTACAATCTAGTATCTAATAAGGAAAATATAAATTTCTTTGGATAGTAACATTATCAGCCCTTATCACGCCCCCCATTGGGGACACAGATGTAGAATATAGATACAATATCTGTCTGTTTACAACTGAACAGTTTAACAACAAGATTTAATAATATGAATTCCAGGTTTTGGCATATTGCTGATTAGGACATTATTAGTTATATATTTGAAGTTATAAAGTGGGTCAATTAGGTGTAGGTCACTGTCAAAAGAGCATTATTATTAATTTGATAAACTTGTAGTTCTACAAAAAATAAATGCTGGATTTATAACAGTCTCACTTGAGCCAGAAAACACAACTTATCTTCTAAAGAATGACATAAATATATATTTAAAAAATACCTGAAACCCTTCAGCACTCATTCTAGACAGCAGTTCATTAACAAACTGCTGATCTTCCTTAGCATATAGCACGAATGCATCATAGTGGTGCTCATAATCCGGGCCATCATCAAATGTTATAGGGTCAAACTCTCTCTCTTCATCATTGGATCTGATATTGTGGTGATTGTTGTTAATGTGGTTGTTATTTATTGCTATTTGATTTTGTTCATTTGCTGAAAGAAAATAAGGTTTTATTTACTTTATAATCAATACTTAATGAATGTGTACAATGAATAAGGAACCCTTCATAAGTTGCCTAAATTATGTCGAAGGGAGGTTTCTACACTTCATTATTCCATACATATTTTGATAACCGGAACAGCTGATTTCCAGTTTAAATGGTGTTACTAACATGATTTACAATATTGGTTGACAACTATAGATAAATAAGTCTAATAAATTAAAATGTATCAGCAAAAATGCCTAGCTCTTCATGAAATGTAGATAAAACACAATTAATTATAAACAATTAAAGATATGCTTTGTAATCTGTTATATCTGTCAAATGTATTACTTTGTTACTTTGGCAGTAATTAATCAATCAACGTAGATTAGAGGCTCAAACATTTTAAGCCTATTTCCTTAAATTAAGCTCAGACAGATTTGACTTGTTAAGTAATTTACCTTGTGGCTTATCTAAGAGTTCTCCCTTACTAATTGCTTCTTTGAGATCATCACATAAGTCATCATACACATCGAAGCGGTCTAAGCGCTCCAAATGCTGCATCAAGTGTCCAACTGTTGCTGAGCTGTCTTTCTGCCATATTTCCAATACTTTCACAGTCTTTTGTGGTTGTAAGCGGATGTAGGCGGCCCTTTCAGACGACACATTGACTAAGTCAGCCAAGCCCCGCCAGTCTCTGTAAGTTGCATAAGACATAGGTTTTATGTAATTTGTAATTAGGTTGCAACCAATATATACTATGTTAGGTGGTTTTAGGTAACATTGTCAATGAAAAATCATTATCCTTTGGAATGTTGAGTGAAAGCTAAGTTTTGTCATACTTTACTGTTAATGCATGTTAACACAATTTGCACTTGGTAAATATTATTGCTAGACTAAAGATGACTCACAACTTTATCAATCTGAATCTTATACAGCGCACATAGTATATGAGTGTTAGTCTGAGTAAACAAATCTTATAATTTTTGATAATATTAATAATAACTATTTCCAGTGTCATAACAAAGTTTTCTTCTGTTTGAACATTTATAGATTCATATCACATGTTACCCTTAGTAGGGATATGGAGGTATTCCATGAAGAGCATTCAAATGAAGCGCACCCAGATAAAGTGCACCTAAGGTATTACACATAGCGCTGGTGGGCTTCAAGTACAAATTGTAATAATTACTTAATTTTATATTTTACAGTGCTCACCTACGAATATCACTTGCATATTGTGGGGGCTAAGAAATAAAAATGTTGATAGAATATAAAATATAATTATTAACAAATTAACATTTTTATGTATAGTATTTTCTTTCTATACATATACATTTCTAGGCAGTCCTAGTGGACTTCATACCTTAGTAAGAGGTGTTTAAAAAGGAGGGAATTGGTAGATTTCGTTTATTTAGAATGCAACCTCTATCATCCCTATCCATTTCGTTAGTAACGTGATTCTCAATTCCATATCATAAAGGAAAATTCATCAGGGTTTTATTTTGACACACTAATGTTATTATTGTTTGCTTGTGAATGATATACTCAGTGATTCTCATTCAACATTTAAATGAGCGAATCACATTGTATTCAGTGCACATCTTAAAAGCTTTTAACAAATGCTACAAGATATAAATAGAATTAATTGAAACTAATTATTCATGTTTGTATTTACAGGTTTTCATTCAAGTTTCTTGAACTTGTTAGCGTACGTAGTACTGCCACGGAACTTCATGTAAGTATAATTACCTGGGCAGCTTCACAGGTCCATCGGTTGGGATGATTTTTGGAGTATCCAACAGGCATGATAACAATTCGCGAGTTCTTAGAGGAAGATATGACAATGGTAAAGATTTTATTCTACCCAAGTCTTCTTCCATTTTAAACACAATTTATTACTAACACACTTTCATTTCATCTAAAACACGCACTTAAACTAAACACAGTATTTTTTAAACGCTTTTCCTTAAAAATCAAAACTTTGTCGACCAAAAAATGACAAAATACATCACGTCACGCAAAAATAGAGCGCACAACAGATAAAAAATATTTTGCTGTGACGTAATTTTCACTGAGCAATTTTAATTTCTTATGTTGGCATTTCTGAACTCCCTATTACACCAAATTATTTTTTACGAAAATAGTTTAGAAATAGACGTGACTAAAATGACTCAAATAAAAACGGATATTTATCCATTTTGAATAAACCGACAAACACCCATCTTTATTTAGGAAATAAAATCTTCTTCTTTTTTCTTTTTAGATGTTGAAGTTATAATTTTTGTATGGCACCGTTGTACTGCGTTGTACCGATTGTACAATACAAAGCATCTTCACAATTTTCACAATAGCGTTTGTCCAGCGTAGGGGTTTGATTGATGTATGCACCGGGCTAGTGTGAAGACACTCATAACTGACCAACAGCCTCATTCGTTGAGTCGCGGAGAAACTAACGGGTTACCGGGGCTTCGGCTCGAAGTGCAGGAACGGTTTGGTTTTATTTTTATTAAGAGTCTGACACTCCCTCCCGCCTCATCCAGGCGAGAGAAGTCATTCGATGATTTTCCCCCCTTAAAAATAGCCTCATTAGTTGTTCCAAAATTCCAAACTACTCACTCAGTTACTGCTACTGGTCTGGATAGTAATAGCATATGCTGACCTCGGTATAACATTTATATATTATAAACACAAATTATTTTTGTTTTGTTTAATACTAGCTTTTACCCACGGCTTCGCTCACGTCACAAAAGGATAAAAGTAGCCTATGTGACATATACCAATACACACAGTGCCATCTATACCAATACTTTTGTTTTCCCTCGGGAATATCAATTTTTTCGGGATAAAAAGTACCCTATTATTTAAACCAAACTTCTAACTTTATGTCTGTAAAAATTCAAAGCAATCGGTTAAGCTGTTACGGCGTGAAAGCGGAATAAACAAACTCACTTTCCAATTTATAGTATTAGTAAGGACTAGTAAGGATCTTCATTGTTGATTTTGTAGACGTGTTAATAGTGATTACGCGCCAATTTCAAGATCATGTTATTTATAGGGACTTTTAGTGAGGAACAATGCGATTGGAGCACCTGATGGTAAGCAGTAGCACTAAGTAGGTACTAAAGGCATCGTGAGCGTTGCCGACCATGACGTTTATTATGTTAATTCTGTGATTCGTTTGTATAAAATTGGATCTTTAATAACAAATAATATGTTCTAAGCTTTAATTGCTACAAGTGACAGAGGTAAATGAAACAAAATTAAATAATTTGAGATGCTTTATTGTCATTCACAAGTGCATTCACTATCTCACTACAATCTAATGTCGATACAAATGCAGAATAAGTTATTTATATTATAACAATTATCTACTCATAATTATGTTATAGGAACGAAAAGGCAAACAGAATTAAATTGTTAACAGGTAAAACATGTTTAAATAAACAATGAATATTGTTTTTTTATTTCAATAAATTACTTAAGAATTAAATATCGTGTTTCATATTAAAATAAATAGGTACTCTAGAAACACCATTCGTTAAAAACAATTGCCGTAGGTTAATAAAGTAAAATAAAAAAAAAACATAGGTCTACTAACATTATTTATATTATCTACTAGATTTTAAGCTCATTTAAAAATGGAATGTTCAATTTTGACTTTCGAAAATACAAAGCGGGTCAAATTTAGCACCACGCATAGTTTTTTTTATAATAACATAAACGTTACTTCACGCCCACATAGCCCGAAAAGTGAGGCAGAGAGATATAGATAACAAATAAGGGCACAAAATATTTCTAATTAACAAGACTATAAATACACATTTTGTAAGTATATAAAGTTCGTTTAAAATTTTACATTGATTTATCATAATGTAATTGTTCATCTGAAGCAAAACATAAATAACTTTTATTTAGGTAGATACTAAACGAGACAAAACAATATTAAATTAAACTTAAAAAAGTCATTACATACTTTAAGAAACGACTTTCCGTCTTAAAACAAGCTATCCACAAGATTAAACGTCACAACCAAAATATAAAATTAATGTACATGTTACTAAGTAGTAAACAAAAAAATATGTTTTGTTATTAATAAATTAAATATAGTTGTCGGTGAATTTTAAGAATACCAGATATTGGTGTGATGTATTTTCTTTGTTATATTTCAATCTCTTATTGCTACAAGTTCATAGAAAAGGTTTTTTCTACAAAATACGTCGTTACATACTATCATCGTCTAGTCTTGTCCAATGTTTTAGCGTATTATAGTACAAGGAGGGCGGAGGTACCTTTGACTTTACAAAATTTTATTTCAAGATTAATTACATACTGTTTTATACTAATTTTGGTTTTCCAATTGACTTGGGTAAAAATTTGTGCATAGATTCACAGCCGGCCGTAATCTAAGACATTCATGAGAAAGGGGGCTACCGTATTTTTGCGTACTACATGGCGCAATAGTAGGAAGATAATTTTGTCCAATCATAGCAGTTTTCAAATATTGAACGAGCAATAGCGTGAGACTAGCCAATTGCCCATTGGACGAAGAACGATAGGTTCACACTAGCCGTCACCTGATGAGCAAAAATACGTTAGGCCCCATTGGTATCCTACAATATTAGTAACAGGTAACTACGATAGATAGTATTGTCACTAAGAAGGAAACTCGAACATTCAGACATTATTTACATTGGTATGATATGTATCTAACGTTATTTTGATATTATAAGTAGAAAGTAAAATAATTATGTAAGTATAAATCGCGTATAAAATAAAAGATTATACAAATATAGAAAGGATTCGGATTTTTCTCAAAGAGAAATTAATAATTTACATTCATTCATGTTTGTTCATAATACAGGCATAAATGCAAACAATCCAATAATATTTAGCCTCAATTACAAAAAGAAGGAGGTAGATTAATAAGAACAGAGATGTATAAACAAGCCACACAAGTTAAAAGAGATTTCCTTATACACGTAATTCGAACATTGAATTACGTGGTAACATTACAAATACATATACGGACTAACTACTTCCACGCGATTTCGCCCGCTCTGCTCGACGTCTATTACTTAATCGTTGTGTGGCTTTCCTCGGTATATGGACTATCCAACAGGGACATATTTTTTGAAATCGGTCCCTGAGATTAGGGCATTCACACAAACAAACAAACAATTCAGCTTTATGTAATAGTATAAGATACCAGATTATATACCCATAGAAACCAGATGCTAATACCAAAACCTAATTATCTACATACGTAGTTAGGCCCGAATACATTATGTACAATATATATATATATATTTTATACATTTTTAAATTATAAGAATTATACATAGTTATTTGTCATTTTTGTAATAACATTTTAGGTTCGAAGCATAGACACTGGAGATTATTGCAAAAATCTCATAATACTGAAAAATTAAATGTTTTTCTTTTTGCAATAATGTCCAGTGGTTAGCGAACATTTATACTAGATTTGAGGCGCATCTGCTTCTATGTAACTAAGTAATCTAAACATGTTAGAAACAAATAAATAATTTGATAAAAAACTCTGTTATGGCAAGAAATTCACTAATATAGAAATGGCGCTGTGTGTATGTTAAGTGACAAAGACATAAAATATAGTTGTCTTTGTCACACATATTAATAAGTTACATAGTCAAACTCAAGTTAATAGGCTTGGTGTGTCTTCAACACTATTAGTCAGGTCGACACAATGAAAACTGAATTTAACTTCTATATTATTAAAGTTTAACATTATTATTCATTAAACATTAAAATCTATGTGTCAATCTATATACCGTTTGATATGATTTTCTATCATAATTATTAATTCATGTCAAAAAACAATAACTTACAATTACACAAATTAGTCAAAAATAATCCTTAAAATTACTGATATTCGACTTCGAGCTAATTACTAGAAAAAATATTTTAATTTGATGTTTGAAATAATCAATATACACAAAAGAAAACATGGTTTAAATTGCAACTATGAAAAATTTCAAGTTAGCGAGAAAATTAAATATCGCAAATGATTTGAGTCAATTTAAAAATCTTTAATATTTAAACCCGCTTAAAATGCAAGTATCAACTAATAATAATAATTTATAGCCTAAACACATTAACTTGCATCAGTACTCTTATTTAAACATTACAAATTGTTTTTTTCATCAGTCTTCAACGGTTAATGCTTGAATTTGATCAAATTGTTATTAAAACAATATAATTACACAAATTCATAAATTCTCTTTGGGTTGAATACTCGAGTGTATTTGTCGAGACTAGGCTTACAGAATAATTAATGTTGGAGTAACTTAAGAAACGTGCGGTGGCGCTAGTGTCGTTTTTGGACGCCATGTTGTATTACCAACATGAATGGAGCCACTTGTTTTAACATAAATGTTTTAAATAAGAAAATTTTAAACGAATAAATCAATTTTCGACGTTATGTTGTATTGTATAGAATTCGTTATTGGCACAGAATAAGTGGACCAACTACACTATTGCAATCTATTGACTATTGAATGCTACTACCTCAAAACAAATATTTCAAAGCGTTTTTATTTTATGATATGTAGTATTATCGACCTTCAGCTAATTAAGATTCTCAACTAAACTCACGCTACAAAGAGAAACATTTCTAAACAAGTTTATTGCTTATGGCTCTAGTTGACCCTTTAACAATATTGAACTGTACAAACTTTATTTATCTACAGATTCTTATATTGGAGGTACTTAGAACTTGATCTGTTTGTCGTAGAAAAATACTTTTTTATTTCCTCGTGACATTATTTACACCCATTTGGATCGGTCTCTTAAACTAACCAACGTATTTTTGTATACCTTATAGTCAGACAGTCCCAGAGCAATTTGGCTCAAATCCCCGAAAACCTATTCAGTCGGTTACAATTCTATATTTGAAAAGTAACTTCGGCATACCTTCGGCTAAATTCGTAAACACGAACTCGAATATTTGATTCGAGTATCTCCGACAAACTTCGGTACGTTCAAACACCGAACGAACAGAGTTTGAATTGATTTTAGAATACGAAACCGTTATAGAACGATACCGAATCCGAACCAATAACATCCGTCCGACAGACGTCGAACACAATCATATAAACAGATTTACCAACCAGAACGTTATTTTGAATAACGTCTTTTTGCCACGTTTTCGTTATCTCACCGTTTTGTTAATTCCGTGGATAAAGAGAAGAAATAAGTGTGATGTGAATAGAAAACGTGGCCCACCGTCCGAATCTCAACAGATTAGTAGAATAACAACGCAGGTTTCGCCTGCAGAGATCTGATCTCAATTATGCGCCGCCCTCTTTCCTTGCATGTAGCCCTCCCATCGTTTAGCCGTGTTTATAAGTATGGGGTCGTTGTCTAGGCCAGCTAGAAGGTACAGTTGGTTGACATGGGTCGCGTGGTAGTCCCAGCGGGCAATATTAGGGCTGACTCCTAAAGTAAAATGCCGCAGGTCGTAGAAGCTTCCACTACCTGTATCGAACAACGGGAGTAAGTTCTTCAAGGATGTCATACCATCGTCGAACATCTTCTTTGCTAAAGAGATAGAGTTTTCTCCCTCGATGATGTGCAGGTCGTAGAGACCTAGTAGCGTGTAGATGAAGCCGTTGAGTACAAATAGCGGTGGTTTTGTTGGATATTCTTCGTACCTGTAATTGTAATAGAGATGCGTGAACATTATGTCTTAAATAATAGCTTTGTTTGTTAAATATTTACAAAAATATAATAATAAATAAGTTATAAGTTTCGCAAAGCAGACATTACATTCATAGGATGTGCCATAACAGGCTTGAAACAGAGGTCACACAGGTGATCTATTTAAAGGACCTGGTGATCCTCATAAATGCTGATGATGACATAGTGAGATAAGAATCCGACACACCCCTCATAAAAAGAACCTGTCTGTAGAACACCATGCACAAAAAACGAATAAACCTAGTTAGCAAATCTCACCAAACGTATTTGTCCATCCACATGGCTTTGACTCCGCCGGCGTGGCTGGGCACGTCCAGCAAGTACAGCGCGCGCTTGGCGGCCTGAAGGTATGTCGCGTCACCACTCTCGTAGTACGCGCGGGATAACAGGGAGATCGCGTGCCCTTGACTCATTGCTGAGTGCCTGTAAATTGAAGTCAAAGAAGAATAAAATTATTGGAACATGGACTGTTGATATTGATTTCCTATAAACCTATTAGTAGTATTTAGTAGCGCAAATAGAACTGAAATACGTGTAACAAAGGAAACTTTCACTTTCCATGGCTCCAGTTGATTCAGGTACTTCTTTTAGGCATAAGACCTCAAAGAATGAGAGGCAAAGTAATATTACCAGCCAGGTTTAAGCTCCGCGACGCCGGCAGCCATGCGCCGGCGCACGGGTATGGGCCAGCCGCCACTGCGCGTGCGCTGCGCCCGCACCAGCCAGCGCGCGGCCGCGTAGAACTGCCACATGTGCTCACTCCACGACACCGTCACGTTGTCCAGAGCACCACTGCCGCTCAGGATTATACTCGATATCTAATAAAACACTTTGTTTAAAGAACACGACACACGATGCTTCTCTTAAAATACACCAAATGGGTGAAACTTATTGGAATAGGTCTACCACACATTCACAAACATTACAATTCCTGTGACAAATATTGAGGTAATTGAGCTCACCTCTTAGGGACATATTTAATGAGCCTCTTTCGGTTTCGTTGATACCAAACTAAATGCTTATAATGACTAATTTACTGCTACTGCTTGCATACATAACATATTTATTCAGATCCTTCTTACCTTGAACTTATTCCTAGGCGACCTTCTCTTGGGCCTGTCCTGCAGTGCCCAGCCCTTCTGCATATCGATGATCAGGTCCCTGGTGATACGACGCCACTGCTGATCCAAACCTATCCCGTAGTATATGTGGTCATCCTGCACAAAGTAGTTACACTTTACAGGTCTAATTGTCTTCATAAAACAATGTAACAATTGAACATTATCAATACATAGTATAAAACAAAGTCGCTTTCGCTGTATGTCCGTATGTATGCTTAGATCTTTAAAACTACGCAACGGATTTTGATGCGGTTTTTTTTAATAGATAGAGTGATTCTTAAGGTAGGTTTGTATGTATAATACATGCATATTGCACCCGTGCGAAGCCGGGGCGGGTCGCTAGTCTATAATATATTACATTTAAAAATACATTCATAATTATTGTATTTTAATAGGTTCATTGATCCTTGTCCATACTTGGGTACAATATGTGTTAATTACTTAATTACTTGTGCACTAAATTATACATTACATTAGTAACCTGTGAATTTCGAAACAAGAACCTAATAAGGCTTAAAAAAAATGTATCGGCATCTCACCTGCGCCCAAATTAACTGCGTGCTCGTAACGTAATGGAGGTACACAGTTTCTTTCTTATCCTTATTCTGCAGCACGACAGTGATGGAAGAATTGGCCTTCAGCTGCAGGTCCACACTCAGCACGAAGTCTTGCGTCACGTTCACTTTGAGCCAAACTTGACTGGCCGCATGGTCTGATGTTGAAAACCTTAATACATTCGATTGTACAGAAGTATCAAACTCTCGTGCCATGTAAGCATCCTTGCTAATGATCCAATTTTCTAAATGTTTCTCTCCATCATCTATAATTCTTCTTTTCGGCTCTGGTTCAGTAATGTGCTTACTATAATGGGCGAGTCCAAATTGCGCTATCTGTGTAGGGTAGTAAAAGCCTCGCGGTTCCCACTGTGTGCTGACAGGGACCCCTTCGATACCACTGATGCATTTAACGCGGTCCCTGACTTCCACGTTATAATTTTCGAAGGTGGTGAACGTGCCTCGAGGGTCGTATTTCTTCTTTGGATGGTATATCTTACCGTAGCTGTGGGACCATTCGAATTTCTCTATACCGTCTGCCGTTGTTATTTTTCCGTAAATCTGGAGGATGATTAAAAAAAAATTACAAATAACATACATAATACAAATATTTATATTAAGACTTTCGTGAGATATGCTAAATTAATTATTGTTTTCGGCTTACTCACGTAACTGTTCAATGAGAAACTCGACTTATTTCAAGCCATGCTAGAGCCATATTCATGAGCAGCACACAGACACCCGACGCGGCGACTGTCGCGCGTAGCAGCGCGACACAATTCATGAATATGAGCCTCTAGCATGGCTTGAAACTTGTTGAGTTCCTCGTGAAACAGTTACATGAGTAAGCCGAAAACATAATAATTAATATTTAATTTCTTGAAGAGACAGGCAGCATTTTAAATGCTGTACCAGTTCTTACCAGTTGTGTTAAATCTCTCGTGTAATAGGAGTCGCCTCCTTATTGTCATACAATAGCGGCAAGCTAGTGCCGTGTATTAATTAAGAATTTAAGAAAAATATTGCTTAGCTCACTATCACAAAACACTACACAATATCACACTTGTATAATACAAATGACAAAATCTAGATGTATTTGGAGACGTTGGAAGCAAGGGACCTGTCTGTTGTCAGTAGTTCAAAAAAGGATTTTTTTTGCTTAATTTCAAATACTGTAATCAATATGTAAATAGTTTTAGAGCTGTTCTATTATAGGTAGGTAGGTATGTTCTATTTTTTATCTGCAATATGCCCGGAACGTGTGTAAATCGATAAGGATTATTATCAGCAAGGTCTCAAACCGGTAACCGAACTGCCGGGTAATGAACCTTATGTAACTGTGATCGGATTTTCTTTTTGTGTTCATCGTAAAATACAATTCTTTATTATTTCTTTAAAAAAAATTAAGTATTTTCATGCAAAACATGGCTTTGTAACATTTTGGGAAATTTGAAAATCAAAAATGTATTATATTATCTGAGGTCGAGTCCAATGCGATTGCCTTGCAGATTGTTCCGAGTGGGTATTGAAATCTTTGGTCTTGTCAAGCAGTCGCTCAGTTAGATAAACATGATGAATATAAATTGAAACATTCCTACTGCTTACTCACATGAAATAAGTTGCGCCAGAAAAGCTCTATTAGTTTCCACTCACACTGGGACTTATATTTTTGAGTATCACGAATTTGGAATGTCTCTTGATAGTTTTTATACATGTATAACTTCAAGCCTGTCTCCCGGGGATAGGCAGAGACTATGGAGCGCCAATTGCTACGATTCCTACATACCTCTTTCGCTTCATCAACAGTCATCAATCTTTCATGCATGCTCGTCGGTTAAGTTAAGGGTACTTTTAATTTAATTAATTAATTTAATGAATTCATACAAAGACGATTAGCGTTTTTTCAGTGTGGAATGTTTTAAACTCTCACCTCGAAGTATTTGTGCACGAGGGAGAAAGGCACGAACACCTCGTCGTGCTCGCGGTCGCGGCGGCAGGTGACGGAGTACTCGCCGTTGATGGTGCACTCGATCTCGTCCGGGGTGGCGCGCTCTGACAGTGCGTTCGATAGCACTGAGCCTACTACAGAAATAATGGTTTTTAAAGTGACTTTTTACTGTTCTCCTATGCACATACTTATATTGTAAGAAGAATGAAATATTCTAAAAAAATATATGCCACATCTAGGATTTTCCCCTGTGTCGTGGGTACGTTTAAAAACATACAATTTCACATACACATCACACCCAAATCCGAAACAACAATTTGTGGATTACACAAAGAGTTGCTTCATGCGGGAATCGAACCCGCTACACGTAGCACGGCAACCAGTTGCCATCGCGCCAACAGTGCTGTCAAAAGTATTCAGCATCACACATTTAGTTACAAGTGCATTGTCAGCCATTTCGGGAGTCCGGCAATTTATCATCATTAAACTGTCAAACACCTCTATTCTATATTCTATTCTATAATTGTGTCTATAATGACGGTACTCGACGAGTTAATGTAACAAAATCAGTAATAAAATTTAATTGGAAGAAGAAAATTAACCTTTTGCCTGGCAGTCGCACTTGCCTCTACTACACCTAAGAGGCAGTTCATAAATCTCAAATAGTGTTATTTATTCAAATCTTACAATTTATATTTCAACTAGCCTTATTATAAAAATGATAGAATACATACTGGGTCTCCGTGAGAGGTCCCCACAGTGTCCCCAGAACAGTGTGAACACTAGCACGGCGGCACAGAGCGCGCCCAGCGCCAGCCGCATGTTCATACGCACCAGCATCATTCCGGCCACCTGCAGGACACAAATTTTTAGAGCATGCATACAATTGCTACAAATACACATATTTAATTGCTGTCTAATTTAAATTATTGAGGGAGGAACTTGATACCTGTCAAACATATTGGCAACAGAAAGCTCTATGAAGACACAAGTCGAAGGTGAGTAGGGTGGGCTTTGACCTGTAGTGCGATGAACATGCCTATTAATTATAAAGAAATAATAATTTACTGTATCATTTTTAGTTTATTATAGAGTATTGTTTAAAATTTCAGTTATTTTATTCTTTTCATAATATTTATGTTACATTTAAGTTAAAACTTAGTTTCTAGACAATTTTTATAACTACCAGGTTTTACTCACCTTACTTATATCAAGTTCATAAAAACATTTATTAACTATATCCTTCAAATATTAGATTCTTTTATTGTTCAAATTATCTTTGTAGCTTAACTTTGTTTTTACATTATCTCAACATTGTAATATTAATAGCTAGGTAGTGATTGTATTAATAAAATGGGTCAGTAAAACACAATTATACAAATGTTTCTGTGAGATAACCCCGAGACACTAAAAAAACAATAATGAAGTCATAGCAGTGACAAGAACTGTTTACTACTTATTTTATATAAATAAACATGTATTTAAATTCAACTACATCAAGAATTCATTATAAAGTCGTTCGGGATGCGACATAAAAAGAAGCTTAAGTCAGACGTATGTAAATAAAACGAAGACACCAAACAGGTAGCTAAATATAACTTCGGAGTACTTAGCGGCCCTACACTCAAGAATTTGCGTGGGCGTCTGGAGCTCAAATGCAAGCATTAACACCATTATGAAACAGTACAAAAAGGATTAGATACTTCTCTGAGTAAAACCATGGTACACCGTCCCGTCATTTGAGCTAACTAGACAAGTAAACAGTATTTATACAAGTACGTACCTTGTACACAGCACCAACATTCCATCCGTTCTTCGATCTCGTGAATTGAATCACACGGATAACTCTCATATGACCTGCCACATTACGAATAATATTGGCGCTGAAACTGTACTTTATAGTGACTATAACTTTCTTAACGTTTATATTGGAATGATTATTTTGAGAAAGTATTTTAAATAAATCGGCCGAGACACAGCTCGTCTCCGATTGCAGCTTGCAGCTGACTTTTGACAAATAGTTTTTGACAGCTGACAATCTCGTTCGTAAGTTCGTTCAGAAATAAAATCAAGTTTCATAATTTTATTTAATTCATTATTTTTAAGGTGTAAATATTTTAGTTCATAGTTATTTATATTTAAAGTTGTATATATTTTCTTTTAGTAATAGTTGATATTAATTTTATTTATGTATATTCTATTAAAAGTTCAAATATATAATACCTTATTAGATTCATAAAATTATGATGCATTGTAAAAAATTTGGTTTTATTATCATAATACTTTTTTTACTGTAGTCGAAAGTATACGTTTCCGTAATCCAACAAGTTATTTGTTCTGTTTGATTAAAAATCAATTTATTTTGTCTACATGCATTCATATATATTATAACATCATGATATTTTATATTATGCAGGCATATTAATTAGCCCGGTTAATAAAAGCTACTTTGCGTCGGTACTAAATTAAAATATTGATATTTAAATAAAAAAGAACTCACAGTAATGCTAAGTTAAAATGCTACTAAGTATTATGAATCTTTCTGTTGTATTCTTAAGTTCCACTCTGAAGTTAGGAATTGAGCGAGATGCTAGTAAGCATAAATACCAAAGAGCGACAGAGTACGAGCACATGCTTATAACTTACCTATGGTATGGGTGGCAAAGTTATTCGGTCCGAATGTGGCCGACTAAGTTATATTTTTAAATTGAAACCGCTAAATTAATTTAAATATATGCTCACTAAATTTATAAAAAAGTTTAGTGTTGTAATTTGGCTAACAAATAAAATAACTTTCAACTTAATCGACTTATACATATATGTAAATCAAAAGAATAAGTAACCGTAATGTTAAGCTAGACACTTTATTGCTTATCTGCTCAATTATTATAATTAATGTCTACCTAACTGAATTCACCTAAGTACCTACGTAATTATAAATGAAATTATGTATAGGAATAAACCTAAACCTGAAATCTAAGTACCTAGGTACGTAAGTGTTCTTTGAAACAGTAACCAGCTTTCTGGACAGAGTCATAATAACAGAACAATAATCTACCTTCCTATATAATAATAAAATTGAGCACAATAGAGCGTACATAATTGAATAAAAACTAAAACAAAATCACATTTAATGGCTAACTGTATTAGAGTCGACTTTTGACACGATTTCATGGCAGCCGAACTTCGGGACACTAATACGGCTTCTGGCCGCAAATGGGTTTATCCCTAATACGATTTCTCTTCTACGACTAGTCGCGACTAATCGGATTACCGGTCGCGTGACAGTCACCTACTGCTCGATTAGTTGCCAGCGCGAGTGATCTCCAAGCGAGAAACTATCGAGAGAAGCGATGAAGCTTACAATATCTTACAATTTTTTAACATCATTCACTTTGTAGGAAAATTAGAGCAGGCCACCGGCCGGCACTAGATCGAGATTCAATTAAGCTTGAAGATAATTTAATTGACTGCAAGAATGAGGGCACCTAATGACTAACTTCCCATCTATCTAGTTAACTGTTTACAAACATTAACAATACTGTCCATAGCTAAGTAAACTTAGTCAATAAAAATAGCGACATTTCGAGAACGATGTTTGCCTTAACGGTTCGTTACAGCATGCAGTAGTGTAGCACTACAATAAATATAGAGCGTTATCTGAACATGTTATCTAAATAGTGCAATCAGTGCACGTATGTGGAGTGTATCAGGGCAGGCGGGCAGGCGGGCAGGTCGCATCCGAGCGATCGCTAACTCGCTCCAGTGGAGGCGGCGAGGGAAGCGAGGGAAACGGGTCAGTGTGCGCGGCAACTGGGTCAGGGCGGATGCACCACCGCGGCCGCGCTCGGCTTCGCTCGGCGGTGCTCGGCACGCTCCGGCGGCGCATGCGTGCGGCCCCCATCGATCGCCGCCCACGCGGCGCAGCGCCGCTCAAGTGCTCCGCGAGTCGCGACGCGAGTCCCGGGCTTGGCCCTCAACGATGGCGGCGTGAGCGCGCGCCGCCCGCGGCCTCCGGCGGACATGCCGCGATGGCCAGAGAGGTAACCGAGACGCGACCGGCGCCCTCCGCCGCCTCCGCCCTCTTATGTAACCGGTGATCGCTGACACGCCCGGAGACATGGTGACTATCACCTCGTCGCTCGCCGCACGCCCCGCGCTCTCTGACCCGCATAGCGCGCCGCATCGTGCCACGCTTGACCCCTCGAGACCAATCCCTGGGCTAGGCCTCTTAGATACCGTTACAGAAACCGTCGCCGTCCTCTAGAGATCATAGAATAGACCCTCATCCCTGTGCATCGCAGTGGTATCTAGTGGTGAAGAGTGTGTGTTATGTCTAGTTATGTACTGCGGCGGGGATCTGCCCTGATGTCGGCAGCGAGGCACGTAAGCGTACGGCAGTGCCGCAGCCGGTGTCCCCTTCACTCGCGTGCCGCTGGCCATGCGTCCGTCTCGCTCACTCTGCTGTACAGCGGTACTGCACATGCAGCCTGCGTTAATCAGAATCTGTGCCAACCTACGGTGTTCATTACAAGGAATTGTCTAAAACAAACTTTACATGAAATCAATACATTCCAGTTATACCAGCCCCACGCCTGTTACCTATGTGATTTATAGTCTACATATACATTGCCCATACCTACAAGGATATGGTAGATACTTTTTCTATTAAAAATATTAAATAAGTAGACGTTTTTACGAATAATTGACGTGTCTGTTGGTTGAGCACATGCGTAGCACACTCGTAGCAAGACGTAGCAGGTCCGTAGCATACAGTTGTAGCATTGCGTAGCCCGTAGCTTAGTGATGTTATTTATAGATTTTTGCTAGAAGAAGGTAAAACCGTGTATTATTATGTTACATGCATGACATACTGTACTAATGCCGCCTGAAAGTGGATAACAATAATGTAATATATGATATAATTATGTACAATATCGGCCTATACGAGTAACTGTCCACCGCAGGGCAGCGGCGCGTCTTCCACTGCTATGTATAACCATTAACTAGACTGTGGAATAAACTATAAAAGTATATTTAATGAAAGTTTTTAACAAACCGCACCGCGTGGAATTTTGTTAACACGATACTGATTAGCTGGTTAAAGATGGATTAGGCTGGGCTTTACTAATATTATTAACTGTTTTATTGGAAATAATAACCAGTACTCACTATTACTCAGTTACGCTAAAGATACGGATGTTTTCACAATTTGGTAATTATTTAGCATATACATATGTAGCCGGATAATAACTTATTGCAATCAATTCTATTACTAACCAATTATCTCTCCAGTTTTAAGTAATTATTTGGTTTCGAGCCACCTTTACACAAAGCCATGGGGTTGCTAATTTTTATAATGAGCTTATATAACTACTCTTCATGGTAAATAATTTAAAAAATTGCAATCTTCAGGTCACCAGCCAAGCGAGGAGATTATGATAAGCCCTCTTATGTACAGGTGGCCCACAGTAACAGTCCAGTAACTGACCAAAGGCTGTTGAGGACATAAGCTTGAATTACCACCTCCAGTGATATCATCAGAGATGAAGTCAGTTTAAAAGGAATAAAAATGGCTCGTAAAAGTACATGTGTCTTCAAGACACTCGTGGTTGAAACTTAAAAGATCCCACTTCAATTAGCACTTGTGACAATTATAATGCCAGTCATATTCACTCATATGTTATGTGGTGAATGGTGTTAGACTTGTACAACCTTGGACTAGACATGAAAACTACGTGGTTCCCATGTGTGATCACTGCTGATATGGGTTTCCTTACACGTGCGTATGATATTTAATTTCACGGAAGTTGGGAGGGTACATAAATGTATTCCTAAAACCCCTTATATGCTATAGCTATGCCACTATAAGCACAATACTTGATGATAATTTTGCTGTATCTATGTAATAACTAGGTTTTGTCCGCGATTTCGTAAGCGCAACCCCGTTTTCTCCCATTCCCGTAGGATTTTCAGGACTTTTTTGTAATAAGAACCTTCTCCTAATCCTTTCCTAACAAATACACCAAAAAAAAAACAATTAGTGTAATCGGTCCAGTCATTCACGCGTGATGCTGTGACCAAGGGGAAAAGGGATTTATTTATATATATAATATCGAGGGGTAACGGACTATTTGGTTTAAGCGACATTTTGGACGATATTGAGTTATATATATATTCGGAATCAGCGCATTTTTCTCTGTCGAATACATATAATAACTCAATATCGCCCAAAATGTCGCTTAAACCAAATAGTCCGTTACCCCTCGATATATATATATAGATAAAAGACATTAATGTCACAAAAACATATTTTTTTAGGTAACTCTCTAATGAGTACTGATAAAACGAATCCAAACAATAGGTTTGTAATAACGATATTATATTTGCATTACTTTTAACCCATTAAACGCCTTAGGGTTACCGGTGACCGACATTAGCGGAAGATTTGCTTCAACACTTTTCTATCGGCAGTCAAAGCCTTAAGCTTTTCTTTTTTAAACTGAGGAGTTATGTTTACATTGAACCATTTGTATTATTACTAGGGTTCAATAACAATACAGGAAAAGACCGCAAGATGTCAAGAATATCGCGAAACTCTAATACTATCCCCATCATACAATCAAATCTCGTCCTTATTTATCAGTTCTTAAAACAGCTTTTAAACAGGTATAGTATCTTCAGACACCGGGTCTTCGGTAAGTTATTTGCCATGCGATTTGTTTATTGCATTCACTGTTTATTTTTAGATCTTGTTTTAACTGAAGCGGACCTGTACAAGGTGAACCAAGACACTGAAGCCCTCTACTTAGGCAGACTTAGCCAGATAGCATTTTTATACTGTGTTTCACAATGTCCCTTCGTCTTTCCTTGAAGAAAAGAAAGAATTTCTTCCTATGAGTAAAAACAATATACAGACACAAACATTTCTGTTTTAAACTTATGTAGATGTCATTCATTAAACTTGTGTAGATGTAATCAGATTATTAAAT